CAAAGGATAAAAGGTACTAGAATATTTTTTGTCAGGGAGAGAAATGTGGCTTCATGACTTATTCTAGAAAAGGTCTTTAAACCTTCTCTCCTCTTTGTCAATAAAAAGTGAAAAGAAAAACGAGGAATTATTTTCTTTTTCCACTTTGACATGTTCCTTATAAAGCAAGTCTGAGGTGAGAGGCTAAGGCTATCTTTTTTGTTAAAACTATCACTCTCCCCATAGACTATTCTCCTGTGCTTAGATTAGTAACTTTATATATATATTTATATATTATTGATTTTTACAGAGAGGAAAAGAGAGGGTTAGAGAGTTAGAAACATCAATCAGTTGCTTCTTGCACACCCCCTACTGGGGATGTGCCTGCAACCAAGGTACATACCCTTGACCAGAATCCTGGAACCTTTCAGTCCGCAGGCCAATGCTCTATCCACTGAGCCAAACTGGTTTCAGCTAGATTAGTAACTTTAAATGTTACTATATAAAGGTAATGAGACTCAGTTTTAAAGATTGACGTAGGATACTTTTTGGAGCATAGTAAATCTGAATAATGAAACCCAAAATTTTAAGCAGAAAATTCTCAAGCAAAAATCCCACCTTGTTTCGGCTAAACTCCAATTTTATAAAAATCTGTATAGATAATGTCAAGTTTTCTTTTTCACAAGAAGAAAATATTCAATGCTTGCAGCTCATTTTTGCTTCATCATTTATTTTTCATAATCTAAATGTTCCCACCTAAACTGGGGATGGCTGCAGTGTGACTGCTGTCAGTGGGCCAGGCAGAGCTGCCCTCCATTCCTCCTCTGGCAGCACATAGAAAGCAGCATCTTAAGATTGGGGGTTTGCCATTTGGCAGTCACTCTTGGTAATTGCCAAATCTGCATTTCCATCTAACTCCATCTGGACAATGAATGGCACAGCCATTTTTACATGTCACCTGAAAATGTTTAGTAGCCATTCTGAATTAGAGAAAGGATGAAGTTAGGTTTAAAAGCTCAGTGGAAACAAATAGATGATACTAAAAATAGTTTGGTGTGTTGCAACTTCCTTCTAATCCAAATAGCAAAGTATATTTTCAGGCTGAGAAGCTCAGAGGTACAATTGTAGCCTGGATTACCTATTTAACTACTCACCACGCTGACATTCTCCCTACAGACTGCTTTCCACGTGTGAGGTGGAACAATGGATTCTTTTATCACTAATAAAAAAAATTTGTAAGCTATGCATTAAATAGGGAAAATACAAGGGATGCTTTGAATAATGTTATGGTCATAGGCACAGTAGGTTTAACATGAAGCCCCTGAAACATGAGCTATAGGTCCTCTCACTTCAAAAGCCCTATACTTAATTATAGGGCACTAGAGGCCTGGTGCATGAAATTCATGCATGGGGGGACAGGGGTGTTCCTCAGCGTAGCCTGCACCTTCTCCAATCTGGAACCACTCAAGGGATGTCCGACTGCCCCTTTAGGCCTGATCCCACCTGAGGCATGGAAGACCTCGAGGGATCAGAGGATTGGAATCCTTTTGCTTCCCTTCAGCTCTTCTCAGGAAATACAGGGAAACCAGTGCTCTGCCACCTGTGTCTAGGCATGCCAAGAAATCATGTCCACTCCCTGCTCCCATGCCATGCCAGGCCAGGCACTTGGAGCGGCTCTAAAGCATGCTGTGTCCTGGGTTCCACCTAGGAATTGAGACACAGGGCTCCTATTTTCTAAAACTGTCGCATCTACTTGAGGATGAAACCAGAGTTGGGTTGCAGATCAGGACCCCTTCTGAGAGGAACTGGCATCTCAGCCCTCTTTGCCCTCATTCATGAGTCAAATTGTAGAGTGAGAAGAAGAGCCATCTCTCTTCCATAAAAGTCCATCTGTGGCAATCGTTTCCGTATAAATACTGTACTGTGAATTCTGCAGGCTCTGGCTTTGCAAGCTTAAACGCCAATATTCATGTGGCTTTAAATTTTCAAGCTACCAATCTCTGACTCCCAAAGCTAGCTTTTAAAATATATATATATTTTTATATAATATATATTTTATAATATATATATATATATATATATATATTATTGAGTTTTTATAGAGAGAAAGAAAGAGGGATAGTTAGAAACATCGATGAGAGAGAAACATCTATCAGCTGCTTCTTGCACACCCCCTACTGGGAATGTGCCTGCAACCAAGGTACATGCCCTTGACTGTAAGCAAATCTGGGACTTTCCAGTCCTCAGGCCAATGCTCTATCCACTGAGCCAAACTGATTTAGGCCCAAAGCTAATTTTTGAAACTTGAAAACTGGAATTGATTTTCTGCTCTGGTTCTAATGTGGCTTCTCCTCCAAGAGGCACTGAAAGTGGAATGTGCACAGTGGAGAGCCGGTGAAGTGAAAGACACTAGTTAGTCTTTAATAATACTATCTGGCCACATTATCCATTCAGTAGTGGTTTTTCAGGGATTGCCAAGATGACTGTAATGCAGGTGTCCGCCTTTGTCACCTTCCCTTCCCGTGAGAACATGCTAACCCATGAATGATTGTCTGCTCCTGTGCTGTGGATGAGTGCCCATAGTTAAGATGAACTTGTTCTTTTTCAGGTCAGGGTAACCAGGTCATGTTGTGGGCAGCTATCAGTCTGTCCTGGGGTCACTTTCAGCACCTAGACTGTATGAAAGATGAGAATTTGAAATTTTCAATTTCTAAATTTGATAGGGATGTCCTACTTGCCACATTAGGCATTAGTAGTTGTGGATCCACCCTCAACATGAGCTTCACTAATGGAGAATGTAATTTTCTGAGCACAAACACAGATCCCTCCCAATACACACACACACACAAAAAATTACATACTGAATTCAGTGCTGCCAAAATAGTGGTTTTGGATATCATTTTCTAATAACACTGCACATAATTTTTAGTAGTTTAGATAGCAAGCCTTAAATGTTTTATTGATTGTTTGGAAGTATTAAAATGAAGGATTTTTGTTATATAGTGTTTTTCTTGGACATTCTAAAGCACTTAACAAAGATAAGTGTGGAATTCTTCATAGCACTGGTATTGTAGAAATGGCAACGGTTTCAACTATATTTTATAAAATTAAGCTAGGTTTCTGCATTTCCCTCAATTTCTCATTTCAAAAGAGTGATGTTATTCTTATGCAGGATAAATAAGATACTTGAAATGTATTTGAGCTATTTTTCCTGCAGTTCCATTTCAGTAGTAGTTATAATTTATCTTCCAGACTTTAAATAGACTAGCAGCATTCTGTGAAAACTAATAAGAGTGAAATGCAAGAGTATATTTTAGTTCAAAGTTAATAAAAAATAACTGAATCAGGATTTAACAGCCCCTGAAATTCACCCATAATTTGAAATTTTAAAATATTACATGTGCGAGCAATATGATTACTAGTATATGCTTTTGACATCCCGTCGAGTTATTTATGATGGATGTGAGCTTTGGATACATTTCACTTCCATTCACAGTGTGTCTGGCTTAAAAGGATTCTCTTCTTGAATCTTAAACAATTGTTGAAGGTAATTCCAAAATGAAAGAAACTGAAGCACAGATTTTCTCGATAAAAGAAAGAGCTTCATGAGCAGCAGGCTTGGTCAATGGCAAGTGGAAACAGGCAGCGCCATTAGATGCGCTAAACTGGACCTTTTCATGCTCCACTGAGGATTAGCACCTAAATTCCTCAGCCTCATCTACCAGTCATCCCATACTTAAGATAATCTTCCCCAGATAATTTTGGCGATGAAAAATAGAAGTACTAGAAGCAAATACTACAAATGTATTCCTTCCCACCTATGACTTTTTGGCAAAAATATCATTTCTAATAAGCTAAGCCTTAACTATAAATGAAATAATACATTAACATTGTAAAGGAGAAGAACAAATTCTTGACTGAGTAAAGCCAGAATCAACAATTAGTTTTAAGGCAAGAAAAGCAGTAAATTTCTGCTAGTAAGACCTGGGAAGGGCTGAGTCACATTTATTTTATATACCATTATTATATTCCATGTTGTTATTTTCATTTCAGATGTGATCTGTATTTTAAAATTTATATTTCTGCCCTAGCCGGTTTGGCTCAGTGGATAGAGCATTGGACTGCTGACTGGAAGGTCCCAAGTTTAGTTCCTGTCAAGGGCACATGCTTGGGTTGCAGGCTTGATCCCCAGTAGGGGGACATGCAGGAGGCAGCCCAATCAGTGATACTCTCTCATCAATGATGTTTCTATCTCTCCCTCTGCTTTCCTCTCTGAAATCAATAAAAATATATTTTAAACAATTATATTACAAATTCCCATAAATCATAAGTACACAAAGTTGAACTTTTATTTCTATGAACATTAAATATATACATTATTAAATGTTATATGAATAAGTTTATAAAGCAGACATATATTTCATTTCAAGCACAACCATTAGACACACAGGCTCAGCAATGGAAATTAATGTTTAAAATGATTAAAATATAATTATTTAGCTACAGATGTATGCCAATGACTTAAGTTTTTTGAAGCCTTTTGTGAGGTTGAGCTGACATATAGAATTGTGGAGAGTTATTAAGGCACTTCAAGAGAAAGGAAAGACCATCCCATGCTAATTTTGAGGTGTGGAACATTTTATTATAATATACCAGTTGTACAACATTGTGCAGTGTTGATCATAGTAGAAAATAGTTTCCTCTTTGACATTATCTGTTCTCTTGAGTATAGTTTGACTATTTATGTGTGACTTGCATACCTAAGAATTAAGTAATCAGGAAAATAAACAAGTCTAGCCAAAGTGCATTTATATAAGTCCTAGTTAAATCTCTTTGATTAAGCTTGTAATTCTATTCAATTATTTCCTGTGAGTTCATTGTAAAACCTTCTGACAAACAACCACGTGTTGACTAGCTAGTGTTACACCCTACAAGATATTTTTTAGGAAACATCAAACTATTATGACATTGCCTGCAGCTCTAAAACAAATAGAAATAAAATATTGTGATTTTCATTTCAGATGCGATCCGTGAGCCGAGTCTTTAAATTTATAGACATGCAAACAGAAGAAAGTATATCCACCAAATCAAGAAAACTATCCAAGGATGGACAACTCTCAAAAGTGATGATTATTGAGAATCAGCATGCAAAGAAAGATGGCATCTGGCCCTCAGGCGGCCAAATGATTGTCAAAGACCTCACAGCAAAATACATAGACAGTGGGAATGCCATCTTAGAGAACATTTCCTTCTCCATAAGTCCTGGCCAGAGGGTGAGATTTCAACATTGCTTACTTCTCTAGACCTGGATTCAGTAAATTAATCTCAGTAGCCTAGAATGACATGTTCGTAGAATTCATTTGCAGTATTATTGTTATAGACTAAGATCCATATTGAACACACATATTTCAAGTTGTTGTTATATGGAACCATTAATTTTTCCATATGAAATTTAGTTTGCAGAGGCCTGCATCTAACCTACATAATAGGTTAATTTAAATATGATTCCACTTGCAGAATATCTAATTGATTAGTAGGTTACTCAGTGAAGAAGTCATTAAATAGAGCAAAATTATAACATTTTAGATTTTGCATCTTGAGACTATCTTCCATTTTCTGTTAAGAGAAATATCTTGTTATTGACCCTATTTAATGTCTTAAATTTTATCTAATTTAATTTGCACTCTGTCAAAAAGTACTATTTTTTTTTTTTGCTATGCTTTTTCCTGTTTGTTTAGTTTGAGTTTTTGTCAAGGTATAAATCAATGTTCCCCCAGTGATTTACTAAGCAAATTTTATTATTTAATAAGCAAAAATAACCTTGCATTATTTTTGAAACATTCCTTATGGATCCCAGCACTGGGTTGAACACATAGAAAGTACTCAAATATTTTGACTCTGGAATTGATTCTTGGAGAAAGAGATCGTTATTCTTTCTATATTTCATGTTCTATAAATGTGATTTAATATTGTCTTCAAATCTCATATTCTGGGTCACTCCATAAATCTATGCAGGAGTATTATATTGTTTTGATTGTTGCTTAAAAAAAAAAAAAACTGAGAGAATACACGAAAGCCATGTCTTATGAAAGCTGAACTTAAAAACTTCATGTCTTTGTGATTAATTTCAAATAGAAATTTTTTTTAATTATTGAGATAATGGTCAGGAAAGTTTATTAGGCCACTCTTACTATCAGTAGCTAGGAGGAGACTCTTTTCACTTGCTATTTGCCATATGTTTAGGAATATTTGTAGTTTAATCCACTGGATAAAGTTTAGTTTTAAAAGAATATAGAATGATCAAAAAGTCCCTGAATACCATTCTAAATGGCTCAAAATAGCACACTGGAAATTTTGACTCATCTTATTAATCTTATAGTTAAGATAAATAAATTCACATACTACTAAAATTAGCCTATCTATTATATATATATATATATATATATATATATATATATATATATATATATATATTATACATATGTTTTTATTGATTTCAGAGAGAGGGAAGGAGACTGAGGGGGAGATAGAAAATCAGTGATGAGAGAGAATCATCAATTGGCTGCATTCCCCCTGACTGGGAATTGAACTGTGACCTCCTACTTTATGCTGGTTGATGCTCAACCACTGAACCACACTGGCTGGGCTATTATTATATTTCTTTATATTATAAATAATGAGTTTCTTCTTTTTTGATAGAAAACAATTTTAAATGGACATAAATGGGAAGACTTTAGCTTTTTAGGTTTAATTTACCCCTGATTTTAGAATGAGGTTGTTTATGGCTATTTGTTTTATATCACAGCCCTCATGAAATCTGAGATTTCTGACCTTTTTGCTTCATTATTGATCTTTAAGAAATGTTAAAGTTATGCTTTGGAACTATGTAAAATTAACTATTCCTCTTCGCTCCTCCCTCACATTGAGAAAAACGTAATTATTAAGTTACTTTTGCTTTATATGGGGTGGGGGTGGGGGGGGATGCAATCGGCAGCTCAGTGTCCCTGCAGTCACCAGGATGGCTGCCCTGAGGACTGTCATCAAGTTATAAACAACAGCAACAAATAGTTTTCTATAAACCAGGGTGGGGAGCTGTGGTGAATGATCTGCTCTCCTTCCTCTTGACACCCTCCCTTCCCTTAGCTTTCCCAGTGCTCACTTGCCCACTCAATGAAATTCAGCCAACTTCTAGTAGTGACAGAATGTGCGGCGTCCTCATGTGAGAGTAGTAATCGGAGATGCTGTACAATGAGCAAGAAATAATATGCCCAGGCATTTCATTTTCTCTAAACCTATACGTATATAGTAAACAGGCTATGTGTGTTCCATCACTATTTTTTTGCAAGCTGTTGTCTAAATGCTATGGGGGAATTAAAAGTTCTCACACAAGTCTATACATTTTGCCATCCAAACAGGAAACTAATATTTACTGGTTGCTTATCATGCCCTTTGCTTAAGTGATAAAATTCTGATGAACATTAATTCATTTAATATGGTCAAGTAAGCTGTGTGTCTAAGCAGAACATTCAGAGCCTACAATACTTTCGGGTGCTTTGTGTTTCATTACTCTTTTTCTAGTTAAATTTTCTATTGTTGGCATTATTGCAGATGTCTCCCATTTGCCCCTCCTTTGCCAACTTCCGTTAAGCCCCCCTCCTCTTGGCCCTCACCACACTGTTGGCAACCCAACTCCTCATGGTAAAGACTAGTTTCCTCTTAACACTGACGTGATTGTTGTTCTTATAGTAAACCTGCAGGTTGTTACTTTAGCACAGTGTCAGATGAATGAGCCAAAGAATTGCCTTTGTGGGTGGCCACTAACATGGAGTCACTAACATGTGGGTGTCATGTTAGTAACATGGAGTCACTAACATGTGGTAACATGGAGTCACTAACATGGAGTCACTAACATGTGGGAGTCACTAACATGTGGGTGGCCACTAACATGGAGCCACTAACATGGAGTCAGTTGGAAATAACAATCAGTTTTGGTTTTTATGGTTTCACCTTGATGTTTACCTATATTTAAGCTCCGTTAGAGATTTTAAAGGATCAGACCACCAAGCCTCAGTGCATTTGACTGAAAAACTACTGAGAAAAAAAAAAAAAAACATTGTAAATCAATGAAATTTTATTAATTCTTTGTAATTTTTGTCTGCACTATGCCAAAACTGCAGGAGAAAATGTTGGGGTGGGGGGACCCAAATATTATTGCATCCCAAATCCAGATGTTTTGGAAGTCTGATGTGAGGTCTATAGCTATTAAGATTGTTGATATTTTAAAAAGTCTTTTAACATGTACATGTTGATTTTTTTGTTTTTATTTATTTCTATTATCTTTTAAAATTTCAAAAAATATTGAAATCACTATTTTGAAGTCAGATAAGAAACAGAAAAATGGCAGACTGCAATATTTTTCTCTTTTAAAATAAGTGTGCATTTAGCATCCTACTGATTAGTTTCCAGATGTGTGTGTGTGTGTGTGTGTGTGTGTGTGTATTTGAACCTTATATTCTGGCATGCATAGTGATAATGTGAAATAAATACTATCAACGTAAATTTTATTTAAACAAGATAGAAGCTGCACTAAAAAAGTTATACTCTAAAGAATTTATTTTCACAATCTATGCAAATCTCTAAGGAAAGAATAAAAATAAATTTTACTCCAATGAAGGTGGGAAAGGTAAATTTTGAACCAACCTGACATACCTGGGACACACCCCGGATGCTATGTGGGCTCTCTTCCCCTCTCTGTTGCTCTGGGGTGGGGGTTCCTGCATGAGGCTGAGACTCCTTGCTCCTGGAGGGAGGGGTTTTGCAGCTGAGACATTTCTCCAGCTTCTTAGCCACTTGGTGTGGGGTTTTGCCCTTTGCTGTTTCCGCCCTTCTCCCCAGTCTCTATGTGGCTCTGCTGTGAAGCCTTGGGTATAATATTCAGTTCAGCTAGCCTTCGGTTGGTTGTTCAGGTTGCTCTGTAATTTAGCTGTAAATCCGGTTTGGCCCAGGGAACAGGGAAGTGTAGCTTTCATCTACTCTGCAGGCATCTTGGAACCTAAATTTTATTTTCAATGCATGAGAAATGTAGCATATAATTTACAACTTTTACTTTAAAAAACCTATTTTTTTTTCAACCTCAAATTGTATTAATTTTTTAGTTTTTGCCTTTTTTTTTCTAAATTTTAATATTCAAATCACCTTTCCCCAACTAGAATGTCTCTTCCTTTTTTCCTTTTTTTTCCCTCTCTCAAAGTGCAGGCTGGGATTTTAATTTGGAGCCAGTTATTTCATGATAAACCTATACTTATCAAAATGCCTCAGATGGTATAGTGTATATATCACAGTACTATACAGTCCTCTGATTACATAAATATTTCATAGTACTTCAAGCTTTTGGATGAGCTTACCTGACTTCTCCATTAGAAATCACTTCACAATACTGAGTTTCCTGAAACAAAACAATACGAAGGGTTCAAAGCATAACAGCATAAGAACCTAAATGCTTATTTAATTTGTGAAGCACATGGCATCTACCTTTAGTTTTATTTATTTTTAAAATATATTTTTATTGATTTCAAAGAAAAAGGGAATGGGAGAGAGAGAGAGAAACATCAATGATGAGAGAAAATCATTGATAGGCTGTTTCCTGCACACTCCCTACTGGGGATCAAGCCCACGACTCTGGTTATGTGCCTTTGACCAGAGTCAAAACTGGGGACCCTTCAGGCTGCAAACCAATACTCTATCCCAGTCAGGGCTCATGGCATCTGTTTTTATAAAAATTGGTATGAATCCTGGTCAGTGCGCTCGGTTGGTTGAGCATCTTCCTATGCACCAAAAGGTCATTGATTGGATTCCCAGTCAGGGCACATGCCTAGATTGTGGATTCAGTCCCAATTTAGGTGTGCATGGGTGGCAACTGATTGATGTTTCTCTCTTACATGGATGTTTCTCTCTCCCCCTTTCCCTCCTTATCTCTAAAAATCAATAAAAACATATATATATTTTTAGTTGGTATGAAATAGAAGCTGAATCGTTCAGTAGCTTATAATACAGAGTTTATGAGGAGCATATTCTCAAGGCCTTATTATATTAAGAAGTATGTGTTATTAATACACAGATATGTCAACATATAAGGGGTACAGTTTGTATCATGTTTGGGAATCTAAATTTTATTTGATTTGGCATCTTGATTTCTGGAAAGCACCAGGAGATGAAAAATAATTTCAGGAGGTTTCAATCTGTTGCAGTATTAAAATGGTAACTCAGTTACTCTGAAAAGAAGGTATAATATGCTTACAACTAGCACCAAACCTAACACTGTTTAACTCTCCACATAATAGTTTGATTTATCTTGATCCAAAATTCTCAGAGAGGAGGAGCATTGAAGTTACTAGAAAACATTGAATTGAAACTAGGATAGATCTTAAAAGGTTGTTTGTGGGAAGTACTCTGGCTTATTCAACAGGTCACTGAGAAGCCTGAATTAGGTAAGTGCCAATTATATAAATAACAAGAAGACTTTGTTAGTTACAAACCAGTAAGATTTCTTGGTGTTGAATGAAAAACATGTCAAACATACTGTAATACAAGCTGTTGAATAATATAAGGAAGCCAGAGCAAAAGCTAAATATTTTAAAGCTAAACAAAAGGTTAATAAATGGCCTATGAATCTAGTCTCATCCCAACATAAAAACTGAGTTCTCTAAAAATCAGTATTTGCTTTTTAGAAAGGAGACGTCATTTACCCTAGTCATTAGAACCCAGACCAATGATTTGGGGCCTGGACCTCAAGGCATTTTTTATAAAAAATTTTTGATATGACCTTAGAGGAAATCACTTCCTCCTATTGAATTTTCCTTCTCTCTATACCTCACCTATATTGTATATATCACAGGGCATATCCAGATTGCTTATACAAATCTTTACTCTTGTGTTCAAATTATCATGACATGTGGTGAATAGGTTTGTACAGGGGCTGATTCAAATATAAAAGCTGCATATGGAATTTCACAAGATTTTTAAATTGAGCATTGATCTAGAAATTGACCAAATTAATAAAATCCATTTGTTTGTTAGATCAACTAAGTAAGTTTATTCATTCATCTGCCTTTCCCTCCCTCCATCTCTACATCCCTTTCTTCTACCCTTCTTTCCATCCATTCATACATACATACATACATACATACATACATACATATATACATACATTTATCCTTCTATCTGCCTGTCCTTTGGTCAATCCAAACAAGTATTTATTGATCACTTTATGTGGGCCAACCATTGTGCCAGGTGCTGAGAATTCAAGGGGATACAAGATAGACTGCTATGCCCTTGAAGAATTTATATTCTTGGAGTTAACACAAGCAATAATCAAAGAATAAATAAAATAATTCATACAACTCATCACAATTGCTGATTGTGATGAGTTGTATGAAGAACCTCAAAGAACTGTTGTGTATAACATTTGGTTTATCTGACTTTCTCAGTTATCTCAGAGAACATACATTTTTTTATTTTTAAATTTTTGTTTTTTAATTTGAGTTGGCATGCAATATTATATTATTTTCGGGTGTACAACCCACTGATTACACATTATATAACTTACTAAGTGATCTGCCTGGTAAATCTAGTACCCATCTGATACCATATATATTTATTATGATGTTATTGAATATATTTCATATGCTCTACTTTATATCCCTGTGACTGTTCTGTAACTACCAACTTGTACTTCTTAATCCGAATGGATTTTTTTTGCCCCTCCTCCAATTTCCTTTTCATCAAAAAGGAAAACATACATTTTTTAAGGTCTCCTTATAGATCTCTTATGAAAGAAAGACAACTGTGTCATTGTTTATTTACCAGTTTATCGCAAAGGCCTAGTTTATTACCAGGTTCCTAATAAGTGATTAATAAGTTATTATTATTATTATTATTATTATTAGAGGTGATTGTTTGCACTAAAGCATTTAATGTGTCTGTGAACTGATTCTGCTTTATAAACTGTTAAGAGTCTGTGATAAGTATAGGAAGTAAGACGAAGCATTTAGAAATTCATTATTATTATTGGATTTTTAAAGTACTGGTGTGCAGTGGGTTAGAAACTAAAAACACAGGACAAGATGTGACTGTCCTTTACCATCGATAACGTGAAAGTCACTACTCTGAAGGACCATTTGCTCAGTTCTACTATAAAAATGGCTGAAGGATTAAAAAAAAAAAAAAAGGAATAATGTTAAGGGGAAGGAAATGAACATCAATTCAGTGCCACTAAATGTTGGGCAGTTCATTCATTAAATAAGTTCAGGAATGTTTGATCTCACTCAGAACACCTTCCTCCAAGAGCTGGGTCTGATCCCAGAGGTGGGCTAAGTTCCTGCAGCGCCTGCTCCCCCTTGCTATGTATGCCATGCTCTCATAGTCTCAAGTAACAAGTATGGTTTTTACTTTTCTTTAGTATATTTTTTGCTTCCCCAAATCCTCTTCTTGCCAATCAGGATGTAGGTAAGAATTTGATTTGACAGGTGTCCAAGTGCTTATGCGTGGGGGGTAGCAAGGCCCACCCAGCCTTCTCTGGGATTGTGTTGCTCATTGAACTTGGTCTTGCTTATGGTTAGGCCTAAACTTGATGGTTGCTTATTTATAAAGGACAGTTTCTACTAATAAGTGTTAGGACTGTTTCAGATTCATTCATTTTCAAGTTTGTGTATATATGTGTAACTAGATCAAACGATAGGTCTCTGCTTCTGGCTTAAGCCTACCCTTAGAAATGATGGGCATTCAGACACGGTATCTTTGCTTTTTGTTGATGGAAAATGGGCATTCTCAACTTTTTTGCAATTATGAAAGTCATGGATAAAGGAAACCAGCATCAGGGATCCAATTCCTTATGGCCAGTTTTGGTACTTAGTTCCAGATCAGTATTGTTCATAATTGGGAGTACAAAAAAAAGGTTTGGAAAAACAAGTGAAAATTTTTCCCTGATGATTATTTAAAAATAAACAGTTCCTATGGTGGTTTTTTTATTTTATTTTATTTTATTTTATTTATTTATTTATTTATTTATTTATTTATTTATTTATTTTTATTGAAGTGCATTACCAGTTTACATTTATGGCAGGGCATCTGTACATCACCGGAGTAATGCCATTCCTCTGATATTCTAGGTGGGCCTCTTGGGAAGAACTGGATCAGGGAAGAGTACTTTGTTATCAGCTTTTTTGAGACTGCTGAACACCGAAGGAGAAATCCAAATAGATGGTGTGTCTTGGGATTCAATAACTTTGCAACAGTGGAGAAAAGCCTTTGGAGTTATGCCACAGGTAAGCTAAAATAAACTAGGGGAAAAAATAACTAAATATAATTTTACTATTATTTGATAATTACACTCAAGAAATTCATATTTCCCTGCAAAATGTATCTCTATATATAAAAGCCAAGTGACGAGAATGCCAGAATGACCAGAATGACCTGTCGCTATGACGTGCACTGCGGCCTCCAACTGGCCCAATCGGAGCCCTAATTGGCCCCCCCTCAACCTCCTGCAGCCCCTTCCTCCTGCGGCTTGGTCCCCAATTGGCACCCCCACCCTGATAGGAGGCAGGGCCAGCTGGCCAACCTCACACAGCCTACCCCCACTGGCCCCACCCCCGATTGGCCCCCCCATCAGGGGCAGGGTCGGCCAACCTCCTGTAGTCCCTCCCCCACCGCTAGCTGGACCCCACCCATACATGAATTTTTGCACCAGGCCTCTAGTTTGTTATATATTTCTGTCCATTTTGTGCAATGCAATCTTTTCATTAGAACTACCTCTAAAAGTTCAGAATTCTCTGACATCCTGTTATTAAAATATTAGTAGTTTTGCTAGCTTATCCCAGAAGACATAATATGTAGTAAGAGCCTGGGGCTTTTGTCGTGCTTCAGTGGTCTGAGATCCAAGTTAACAACGACAGCAGATTGAGAAATGCTTTGTGAGATATGAAAGATGCTGCTGATATAATGAACACTTGGAAGCATGAGGTAGTGGAATTGAAAAAGAGAAGTATAGTGATTGTATTTTTGTTCTTTGGATAAGAATGACCATATCAGATTAATCTGTAGTTATTTATTTTAAGAACATTATTATATATTTTTTTTCTTTTTTTTTCTGAGAGAAAGGGGAGGAGGGTTGAAAGACAGTGATGGGATGGATATGGGTAGAAACTACTCTAAGAGAAGCTGAGGTTTAGGAACTAAGCTTTTTGCCTGGTTCTGGCTCTTCCTACATGAGCCTCTGGGTTGCAAGTTTTTTTTTTTTTTTTAATTGAATGTTTTGGGGTGACATTGGTTCATAAAACCATAGGGTTTTCAGTGTACAACTCCATAAAACATGATCTGTACACTGCATCACGTGCCCATCACCCCAAGCAGAGTCTTTTTCCATCCCCATTGCTCCCTCCCCTGCCCACGTTTACTCATCCTCTGACTGTCACCACACTGGCTATCACCACACTGCTGTCAGTGTCCATGTGTGATGTGTATATGTTTTTTGGCTAATACCTTCCCCTTCTTCTTTTTTTTTTTTTTTTTTTTTTTGTGTCACTCTTTGATTTGGGTCACATACAGTATCTCTAGCCTCACTGGCTTAGTACCACTCTGTTTTATTGCAAAAGGACTTCTTCCATATGATAAAAATAGCAACAGTTCCATTCTAAAATGGTCCAAATGGAAACCAATGAATGTCTTCATTGTGAGCAGATCTAAGAGGCATGTGCTGCATATCTACTAGTATTTACTCTCATCTCTATGGATATCGTCACTGTTTCAGTGACCATTTTTGCCTTCTTTGTATCAATGGGCACTGAACCCACTTCACTACCATGGTGCTCACTATTATCTACTTTTATTACAAAATTAAAATGCTAGGAACATCTCCCAGGAGAGTGACTATAAATCGACCTTTAGAAAAAGCTTGTATTTTTTTAGATTACTTTTGTGTAACATTTGTTCCTGTCAACTATGAGGCACTAAGTATTTTAACTGCTAGAATGATGCTTTTCATTCATTTGTCTAGACTTTGCCATGTGGCCAGAAGCTTAATCCTGGTTGAACTTTAAAAACAATATTGTTTCTTCAGAAAGAAAAAAAGGGATTATCAAGTGGTCTAAAGATAAACAGTGGGAACACAAGTATCCCAAGGTGATAGCGTTAGGCAAATGGCAATGTGGTTGCCTGAGTAAGTGTTGCTGTTCAGTTGATGCTAATTATTCTGATTCCATTTTTAACTACAATAATGACAGTTTGTTTCCTTGGTGTTCTTATGTGAATAAGCACCGTCCTAAAAAATAATTTCAGTTTCACTGGGAATCCTTTTATCTATCTGCCAATAGAGAGGTTTTTGTTTTATCATCTGTTCTTTATATATATATAAATATATTTTTTATTAAAAAAATATATATATATATTATTGATTTCTTACAGAGAGATAGAGAGGGATAGAGAGTTAGAAACATCGATGAGAGAGAATCATCGATCAGCTGCCTCTTGCACACCCCCTACTGGGGATGTGCCCGCAACCAAGGTACATGCCCTTAACCAAAATAGAACCCTGGACCCTTCAGTCTGCAGGCCAATGCTCTATCCACTGAGCCAAACTGGTCTTGGCTATCATCTCTTTTTTTCAGGGACCTATTAATAGATATGCAGGAGCCTGAGTATGCAAGACCTGGAGAAAGAACAAGTGGGCCAGCGTTGTGAAAATTCTTTATCGTACCTTTCTGCTAAAGTGAATCTTCCAAGCACTTTTATTTTGTTTTCTCTCTTCTATGCTTTCAAGCTTTTTATAAACTAAACAAGAAGTACTTTGAGATGTAAAATGTGTGGTTGTGCTCATAGAATTGCTTCTCATTGCACATGTTTATGACCCTGGTTTCTAGGACTGTGTCTGAGTGTTACAAGGATGTCTATAGACAGAATATATTAGTTCCTCTACATTGACACCTTGAGAATATTAAGTGAATATTCAAGAAATAAAGAAAAAGGCCAAATTCTTCACACCTTCTGAACTTCCAAATCAAGAGATGATTTTACTGAAAGTTCAAATTACCTAATTTTGACCTTAAAAAAGAAATATAAGGAAGAAAAGGGAATTTAAAATTCTACAAAAACTTTTTTTTTTTAATCTTTTCTATCTTTTTCTTCCTTTCATCTTTCTGATCTGGCAAGGACATAGATCTCTGACACTGAGACATCAGAGACCTTTGGGTCGATTAATCACTTGTTTTCATACACAAGAAAACATTGAACAAGAAAACTTTGAACAAGAAACGTTCCCTCTCCTTCAGTGATCCCAAATCCTGTAGAATCACAAGATGCCATTCGTTTAGGCAAGCTCATGCAATTGTGTTTTGGCTTTTTCCCCCCTTCTTCCCTCATGTAGCTAGAAAACATGCAAGGAAGTAATCTTGGGGAATGCAGCCAGGCCAGGAACTAGGGGATTGTGTACTTTTCAAGGTGGAGCCTTCTTTAATTTGTTCTGTTTTGCCTGTTAACTCCGAGAGCATAGATAGTAAGACCTAGAGTCAGAGCCCAATGGGCTTAGGCAGTTTGAACACTGAGACTTGTTCATTAACCATAAGCCTTAATTAAGCCCTTAATTCATGAAAAACAGAGAAATAACTTTAAAATGTATTTTCAAAGCTTCAATTTTAAGTTCGAAAGGCTGCAAAGCTATTCTGTGGGAATGACAGGCCTCGTCTTGCAATGAGACTTTGAAACTGATCCACCCCCACACATGACTGCCTCTACAGAGCTGGAACCTCGTTTGCTGTGAGAGACATTACTTAGGTCCAACACATGTATCTATCGATCTGAACAATGAAGTTGGGAGCACAGCAGTGCTCATTCAGTTTAACAATAATTCACAGTTTTATAATTAGCTATTGAGTTCTTTCTATATGCTTAAATTACAGTGATTATTTTAGATTCAATAGTTACAGTCTATTAGTGGTATTGTGCTCCCCATTCAACCTATGAACTTCCATTGAGAGGCTCAAAAGTACGCTCATTGCCATAAGTCAGGGATCAAAGGGAAAAAAAACAAAAATGATAAATTAAGCATAGATGATTATATATAGTTAGAGTCTCTGCACAGACTGGTCGGGGATGCTGTGGGCAAGCTTGAGAGAGAATCCAGCCCCACCACATGACTGTATCCTTCCTTCCTTTCTGTTTCCACTGTCATGTTTTTCTTCTCATCTCATTCACATCCCTCCAACACACGTTGCACACACATTAAGCTTTTTAAAGCAGCATTCCGATTTTGTGATTTGCCTTTTAGGGCACATCTTCCTTCACTGAATAGGTCCAGATTCTTCCATTTGTGGTCAGACCCCTACCTCAACCCAACCTTTGCAGACAGATCCACCCCTCCTCATACCTGGACACTATGTTTCACTCCAGTGGGTCTCCCTGGTCCATGAAACCCGACTTTCCTCTCCCATTTCCTCTGTTCATGCACTTTTTCCCTCTGAGACGATCTTTCTCCACCATAGTCACTTTGCCATCACAAAGGTTAAACTCTGGGATCTAGAACTGTGTTTATATCCTGTGTTCTCTGTGTATTTGTTTAATTTCCACTCAGTATTGTAAACACTTTGTGGACCTTTTAGTTAAGGAAGCAGGATTTAAACACGAAATCATCACCAATCAGAGAAGAGTGGCAGAAATGCTAAATAAAACAGTTTTTTTTAACCTTACTAATTTTTCTCTCTCAATATGGCATTTAATACAATGGCTTGCATAGTAGGAATCCAATATACATTGTTTTGTGCTGAGTCACTAAATCCTTGATCTCTTTTACAAGAGACTGTGGTTCTGCTGGTATCTGGATTCTACTAGCTGTATAATCTTGGGCAAGTCATTTCATTTCTCTGCACCTCAGTTTAATTGTCCATAAAATGGATATACTGACAGTAACTCCTTCTTTGGGTTTTTGTGAGGATTAAATGAGTTCAAATACTTAGTCTACTCCCTGGCACGTAGTAAGTACAATACGCTGGGTTGTCGTTTGTTACCATTTATAGTTCCTTAAGGACAAGGGATCATGTTCTCTTCATCTTTGTATTGAATTGGAGGTCTATGCTGTAGGAATTAAACAGAGGTAGTTATATGTAATCATGGGTCCAGGCACAGACTAGTCATGGATGCTGTGGCAATAGGAGAGAGAATCCAGCCCCACCATATCACTGCATCCTTACGGTGATCATTAAAGTGGGCCGTACAGTGTGTGGGTTTTAGAAAGGTTCCGGGCAGGGAGCTGTGGAGACCATATTCCTGGACCTCA